CAATCTGTTGTCTGATCTGATTGTATTACTTCAAGAAAAACTTCAATTGAGTTCATTGAGTTTTAGCAAAGAACTAAAAGAGGGAATTAAAAGAGGGGTAAAAGGCAAGAGTGTGTGAGCTTATAAGAGGGTAAAAGCCTAATTTTGAAACACGAGTGTGAGAACTATTAATTGGGAGAGAAACACATGAGGGTGTGTTTGTCAGGATATTTTAAATTTTTGTCGTTTGCAGATTAAAAAGAAATGTATGAAGAGGGTGAAACTCAAATACCTAGAGATTTCAAATTCTACTTTGAAGACATGGTACAGAGATTTGAAAGATTGGACTTCAGGTTCAATGAAATGCAAGCTAGAATAGAAAGGGTTGAGCAAAGGGAGCAACAACCTAGAACTTCAAAACATCAAATGAAGATGAAACCAATTCTACAATTGATATAAGGCAGAATGAACGGCAAAATGAAGGAAGGAGAGTGCGTAATGAAGAAATGGTTGATAACAACCTAGGAAGTATCAAGATGAAGATTCCATCCTTCCAAGGCGGAAATGATCCAGAAGCTTACTTGGAGTGGGAAAGAAAGATGGAGTTGGTGTTTGATTTTCATAACTACTCGGAATTGAAAAAGTAAAATTGGCTGCCATAGAATTTACTGATTATGCTGTTATTTGGTGGGATCAATTTGTATCAAACAGGAGGAGACATGGTGAAAGACCCATTGATACATGGGAGGAAATGAAAGTTGTCATGAGGAGGCGATTTATTCTAAGTCACTACCATATGGACTTGTTTAAGAAATTACAAAGTTTCACACAAGGTTGTAAAAGTGTTGAAGACTATTTCAAGGAGATAGAGACAACCATATTAGAGCCAAGATAGTTCCAAGATAGTTTTTTAGTATAAATAGGAGGAATTAGAGCCTTTGTAAATAGACTTGGAAGTTATAATATCAATAGAGAGGTTTCTACTCTTTGGTTCTTATCTAGAACTCTGAACTTATCAAGAAGCTTGTTCTTGTGGCGCTTAAACCAGACTTATCACTCACCTTCTTCTTTTTTGAGTATGACATCTTTATCCTTCTTATACCTTTGGTTCTTATCATCCATAGATAACGAGTCAAGGTTCTTTATTTCTTGTTTAAATTCCCGATTATAGAAACGATTCTAACTAAATTGGTCTTATGTCTCACTATTTTTTGTGAGGTTTACATTAGCTGGCGAAGCAGTTTGAAATAAATGATCTAGGCGTTGTAATGTGATCTTGGTATGCAAATTCAAAGGGAGCGTGACAAAGGAAGATTATGGTTGAGTCGGCGGAAGTATATAGAGGATGTTCTGAAGAAATTCAAGATGACTGACTGCAAACCTGTGTTGACTCCAATGTCTACTGGTTTTAAGTTGTCGGCTGACCAGTGTGCCAAGACTGAAGAAGAAGAAGAGATGACATCACTTCCTTATGCTAGTGCAATTGGGAGTCTGATGAATGCCATGATTTGTACTCATCCTGATATTGCTCAAACAGTGGGAGTATTGAGTAGGTATATATCCAAGTAAGGAAACGAGCATTGGACGACGGTGAAGCGTGTGTTCCGTTATCGTCGTGGTACATCTGACCTTGGGTTATGCTATAAAGGTATGAAAGGCTCAAGGGACATGCATTATTATAGCTGAGATGCTTTGTGGATGCTAATTGTGGAGGTGACATTGATAGTAGAAAGTCTACAAGTGGATATGCCAAAGATCAAGCATATCGGCATATAGTACCATTTCATCATAGAGAAGATTGAAGACAAGGTTGTATTGCTGGAGAATATTGACACAAAGGTAAACAATGTAGATTTTCTGACCAAGGAAGTGACTTCAGCAAAGTTTGAATGGTGTACAGCTGCATTGGGATTGAATAGGGGTGTCAAAATGGGTTGACACGACACGAATTTGACACGACACGAATACATCAACACTAACACGACATGAATTTTTATTCGTGTCAAAATCTTCAACACTGACACGACACAGATTTTTTGCAGGTTGACACGACACGACATGAATAACACGCAAAATAGGGGTCAAAACGGTAATTGACAAAAAAATTTACAAAAATGGTTCAAAATTAAAAAAATTAAAAAAATAATAATAAAAAATAAAAAATAAAATAATTAAAAAAAATATGGGTCGACACGAACACGAATACCTCAATACGAACACGACACGAATTTTTTACGTATCATTTTTCCTAACACGAACACGACACAAATTTTTTTATGGGTCAACCCGCACACGAACTTCGTGTTGTGTCGCGGGTCGACCCACGTGTCATAATCTATATTGACACCCCTAGGATTGAAGAAACATGTGAAGCACTCACCAGGTGAGAGAATGTTGGCTATGACTCATACTTCACATACTGATGAGGGCCCTTGTTGGCGGGGTCAATAGAAAGCCAACTTGGGCTCTTGTATCACTTTTACTTATCTTTTTCTTAGTAGTGTGGGTTTGGGTCCATGAATAGCTGCTGTTAGGATTTCTAAATCTTATTTATATTTCCTTATAAACCGAGTGACTTGTAACGAGTGGTAGTGGGGTAAATATAGTACAGACAAGCTAGGCGTAGCCTACATTGGGTGAACCAGGATAAATCATTGTGTCGATTTATCTTTTCTCTTTCTCTTTTTATTTTTCGATTTGTGTGTATCGATTTCTATCACTTTTCTGTGTATTGCATGAGATAAAATTGTCTCATACAATATGAGAAACCTATTTCCTAAAGATTAAATAAATAATGTAATTTTTTTACAGGGATTAATATTTTTCATGTTGTAGTAGATAAATTTATTTTATACACATATAAAAGTGTCTAGGTCCATGTGGGCCAATGTGAGGAGAAAAAGATGAACGAGAAAACATGGGTCACATACTTTTATATATGTATAGGAGATAAAATTCGTCTCTTACAATATGAAAACATTAAAAAATTTTATAAAATAGAGGAGAAGAAAATGTAATCAATTATCCGTGAATAGAATGGAGTGTGATTTACTCTGAGAAAAGTAAAAGTGATAAAGAAACTCTGCAGTTATTGATAACGTGAAGTTGCTGCTAAATTTCTAAACACGCGGCTCACTAATCGTATTAATTAAGTAGGCTTTGATCAACTAATAGCAGAAAAGTTGCGTAGTGTGAGATGGGTTAGGCGCGTGAAAGCCACGCGAGTTTTGTTTTCTCTCTCTTTCTCCTTTCTCCTTTCTCCTTTCTGTTAGATTTCCGATCATGGCGTCGCCAGAGAATTTTCATGGTGGCTCTCCGGCGATTAGTTTCAACTCTCCTGATAGTTTACGAAAAAGTGTTAAAAGATCCAAGGGTGGAGAAGAATTTTCTGCTGACTCGACTAATAGAGGTGCTGGTTTGGGGTTTCTTGCAAGAAATTCTCAAACAAAATCAATCAGATCCTACGCTGATGCTCTTCGGAAGGCTGATGAACCGGTGGGGGAGGATTCTCATTGGATCCTGGAAGATGAACAAGAAAAGAATGTTCCCTTAGATCTGTCTAAGGGGGATATTTCTGAGTGGGGTTTTCAGACCATCGTTGAGGAGGATGGTTCAATCAGAATAAGATGCTCTGAGGAAGCAAAACAACGGATGAGGAGCCCCTGGAGGAACGCGCTAATTGTTAAATTGCTGGGCAAAAAAGTTGGGGTTTCATATATGAAGACCAAGCTTGAAAGCTTATGGGCCAAGTCTGGATCGATTGTAGTTGCAGACCTGGGTAATGATTTTTTTTCTGTCAAGTTCATGAGCTTAGAAGATCTGAACATAGCTCTGAATGGAGGCCTATGGGTGCTGCTAGGTCATTATTTAGCCATCAGGCAATGGGAACCGTTCTTCAATCCATTCAAGGCAAACATCCACCGTGTTGCTGCGTGGATCCGTCTTCCTGGCATCCCTCAGGAATTCTGTGAGTATCACTTCCTGAACTACTTAGGTAGTTTAATTGGCAGAGTTATTAAGGTTGATAAGACTACTTCAAATGGGGAGAGAGGAAAGTTTGCTAGAGTTTGTGTAGATCTGGACCTCTCAAAACCTTTAAGGGGTGAGTATATGATTGAAGATGATGTGTTTAAAGTTGAGTATGAAGGTTTATATTTAATCTGCATTAAGTGTGGTTGCTATGGGCATAATGCTGACAATTGCCCAGCGTGTGCTAAGCCTGCGGATGCTAACAATGAAGCTGGAAGTAATGAGGTGAAAGTAGAGAAAACAGCTAGCCAAGGAGTTGGGCCCTGGATGGTTGTCCAGAGAAGGAAATCCAAGGCTCAAACTGCAACCAAATATGGTAATGTGAATGGAAGGGCTTTTGGAGATAATCTCACTAATTTTAACAGATCTGCTCCTTTGAAGAATGCTAATGATAAAGGAAAGGAGTATATCTCAGTGGGGGACCAACATGTTAAGGCTGTTTCAAGTAACAGTAATCTGCATCCTAAAGGGAGAAAAAGTAATGGCTCCTACCAGGATCCTCCAGTAGGAAAGGTATATAAACCTATTTCTACTCAAGGAAAGACGGGTAATAACTTCTCAGCTCCTGGGCCCAGCATAAGCAACATGGGATCAGAAACTAACTTCACTTTTTCCTCGGTTAAGCCAAGGACAGTTCCTAAGAAGATTTTGAAGGGTTCTATTGCTAATGGTTCAACTAAGATGATTCTTGGCAATGTCAGGTCTACTAAATTTGCTTATGGTGTGCAAAGCAAGGAGGTGGCTGGATCTGTCTGCATGGATAAGGAGAATAATTTCTATTCTGTGTTAGACCAGTCAGACATGAATTTGACTAACTCGGTGGTGGAGTTAGCTGATGCCCAATCGAATTTTCTTCCAGAGGAAGGGGTGCTTCCAGATGTAGATAATATGGTTGGTTTGGAGATGGAGAATAGTGTTGATGCTCAGCAATCTGATCTGTTGATGGAGAGTAACCAGGAACTCTGTAATCCTGGTGCCAACATTGTTTGCCAATGAAGTGCCTAGTATGGAATTGCAGGGGTGCAGCTAAAAAGCCTTTTAAAGTGACCCTTTGCAATTACATAAGGAAACACAAGATTGGTCTTGTGGCCATCTTGGAACCCAGAATAAGTGGTGTGTTGGCACAGAAAAAAATAAAACAGATTGGCTTTAATCAAGCAGTTATAGAGGATGCTGAAGGTTTTTCTGGTGGCATCTGGATCTTATGGAAGGATGAGATTTGTTCTGTTCAGCTCATTGAAAAAAAGAATCAATTTATCCATGTTAGTTGTAATCTCAATTCTGGTTCTTCCTTCTTGTTGACTGTTGTGTATGCTAGCCCTAGGGAGGATTTAAGGGAGGCTCTGTGGCTTGATCTTATTCGAATTGCAGGAGATGTAGTGGGCCCTTGGATGATGATGGGGGATTTTAATGAGATAGTGTCATTTAAGGAGAAAAAAGGAGGTGCTTCTATTAATTTTACTAGATGCTCCAAGTTCTGTTCTGTGTTAAATGACTGCAATGTCATGGATATTGGTTGTAGATGAGCTAAGTTCACTTGGAGAGGGCCTAAATGGCTGCATCTTGATAGGGTTTTTAAAAGATTAGACCGGGTGTGTGCTAATGCAGAGTGGAGGACAATTTTTGATGAAGCTTCTGCTCAAACCTTGCCTCGGCTGAACTCGGATCATAATCCTATTCTCCTCTCTCTCTACCCGATGGTGAATAATTGGAAAGAAAGGCCTTTTAGATTCCTTGCAGCTTGGCAAGATCATATAACCTTTCCTTATTTTCTGCATGATGTGTGGAGGTCTGATCTGCAGATTCAGCATAGCCTTGCCAATTTTGTGGAGCCTTTGAAATCTTGGAACCAAAGAGTTTTTGGCTGCATAGGGGTGAGGAAGGATTTTTTATTGAAAAAACTTCATGAAATTCAACTTAATTCTCCTCATCTGCCAGATGAAGAAGTTTCTGAGTTAGAAGCAGTTGTGCAAGAGGAGCTGAATTTGGTTCTGCATCAAGAGGAAGCCTTATGGTTCCAGAAAGCCAGATGTAGATGGATTGAAGATGGTGACCGGAGTACTAAGTTTTATCATACCACTACAATCATCCGTAGGGCCAGAAACAAAATCTCAGAGTTAAAAAATGATGAAGGTCACTTTGTGCGAGAGGAGAGTAATCTTCATAAACTGATCCATTCCTTCTTTGCTAATTTGTTTTCTGAAGATCATCCTTGTAGAGATTGGATTGCTACTGAGATTAATTGGCCAGTTTTAGAGAAGAGTGAATTGGAAGAGGTGAGTAGGAAGGTTTCAAATTCAGAGATCAAAGATGCTTTCTTCTCTATGGGTGCTCTGAAAGCACCTGGCCCAGATGGATTTCCAGCCTTTTTCTTTCAGAAAAACTGGAATACTGTGAGTACTCAAATTTGTGAGTGTGTGAGACATATGTGGAGCAAACCGGCTGATATCAAAGAGATCAACAAAACATTCCTGGTCCTGATTTCTAAGATGCAGAAACCAGAAAAAATCAGTCAATTTAGGCCCATTGCTTTATGTTCTGTTCTTTACAAAGGGATCAATAAATTAATTGTGAAAAAATTACAACCTCTTATGCAAAAGCTCATATCTCCCTATCAAGTCAGCTTTGTCCCTGGGAGGCATATTCAGGATAATATAATCATTGCTCAGGAAATGATTCATTCCATGAGCAGGATGAGAGGGAAGAAGGGATTTTTTGCAATCAAAATTGATCTTGAGAAGGCTTATGATCGATTATCTTGGAGTTTCATCAGAAGTGTTCTAACCGAATTGAAGCTTCCTGTTCATTTCATGGATCTTATCATGCAGTGTATTTCTTCTTCTGAGTTGGAGATTCTTTGGAATGGTGCCAAATCGGGTTCTATTTTTCCTAGCAGAGGGCTTAGACAAGGGGACCCTATTTCCCCCTATATCTTTGTCCTTTGCATGGAGAAATAATCTCACATTATTGCTGAAGCTGTTGAGAGGAGAGCATAGAGTCCTATGACAACAGGTAAAAAAGGGCCCAAGATATCTCACTTGTTATTTGCTGATGACGTGATGCTCTTTGCAGAGGCAAGTACGGATCAAATTGAGGCTGTTATGAGTTGTCTCAGTCTCTTTAGTGATATTTCTGGGCAGAAGGTGAGTATATTGAAATCTAATATTTACTTCTCCAAAAATCTTGCTGTTGATTTAGCCAAGCTTATTGTTGAGAAAAGTGGCCTTGTTCAAACGAAAAATTTGGGTCGTTATCTTGGGTATAAGATGAAGCATGGTAGAGTGAGTAAGAGTCATTATGGGGATATTATGGATAGAGTCCAAAACAGATTGAATGGCTGGAAGAAAAAATGTTTATCATTGGCAGGTAGAGTCATTTTGGCTAAATCTGTCATATCTGCTATCCCAATGTTCCATATGCAAAATAGCCTCCTTCCTGTGTCTATTTGTGATGAAATTGAGAAGTCTCAAAGAAGCTTTATATGGGGCGATTCAGATAGTCATAGGAGTCACCATCTGCTGGCTTGGAAGCATCTGCAATTACCTAAGTATATTGGTGGGCTTGGAATAATAAACCTTAGAAGACAGAATGAGGCTTTCTTTCATAAATGTGCTTGGTCTATCATCCACTCTCCTTCTCAGTTATGGTCCCAGGTCATCATTTCCAAATATGCCAGGAAAAATAATTTGCTTATGGAAGTGGTGTCAAAGTCGTATGACTCTCAGTTTTGGAGGAGTCTGTGTAAAGTTTGGCCAAAAGTTTTGCAGAATCTTGTATGGCAGATTGGTAATGGCCAAAAGATTAGCTTCTGGAGTGATAACTGGATTGGTTTAGATCATAATCTTCTCTCCTATACCAAATCAGCACCTGCACCTGCTGATCTGGATCTGAAAATTGACAGTGAGGTTTTTTCTTCAAATGGGAACTGGAACTGTTCTTACCTTAGTAACCATTTTGAGGATCAAATTGTTAATAGAATCTTAGCCATTCCTCCCCCAATGAAGGAGGATGATGAAGACTATGTGGTTTGGAAGGACTGGAATCCCAATGCTTCTCTTGTCAAATTAGCTTATAATAGGCTAATGGATCTTCCTGGTCCTACTGGCAGTCAATACTGGGACAAAATTTGGAGTTGGAAAGGTCAAGAAAGAGTGAAATTCCTACTCTAGAAACTTGTTCATGGAAGACTGCTAACAAGAGAGCGAGTTGCCAAATGGGGAAACGTTTCTGATAGATGTCTTAACTGTCCAGATAATGTGGAAACCTGCATCCATGTTTTTAGAGATTGTCCCAAGGCCAAACTGTTTTGGGCAGTGCCTTTTTTCTAGCCCCTAGCTCCCCTCTGGTTTTTTCTCTATTCCTGATTTAAAAGGTTGGTTAGACTTGAATTTATGTCACTCTCTTGGTAAGCATGCTGATTGGAGAGATGTCTTCTTCTCAGTTTGTTATTTGCTCTGGTTTTGGAGAAATAAGGAGATGCATGAAGAGAATTTTAAAAGACCTGTCATCCTTGATAAATTCCTGATTGATTATTTGGATGAGATCAAAAGAAGCATAGCATCTAAAAGTAAAATTTCCTTTCCTCCCACGTCCCCAACCGAAGTCTTCTCTTGGTCCAAGCCTGCGGAGGGAGTGCTCAAATTAAATGTGGATGGTGCTGTTTCGAGGGATAAAGCTGCTTGTGGTGGTATATTGAGAGATTATAAAGGTTGTTGGCATGGTGGCTTCTCTTGTTTCCTTGGTTCTTGTTCCCCTCTCCAAGCTGACTCTTTACAAGCAATTAGCTTACTTACCTCTATTGGTAATGATTCTCGAAAGTTGCCGTTGGTAGCTAAGACTCGAGTATGGCTCAAGAAAGATTGGAGGGTGGCCTTGTCTCATATATCTAGATCAATTAATTGTTGTGCAGATTGGATTGCTAAGGAGGCTATTGATGATGGATTTGGGCTGCAATTGATCTTCTCACCTCACCCTGAGTTGGCCAAGCTTATGGAAGCTGATAACCTTGACTCTGGTTAATCAGCTTTGGTTTTAGTTTACTGTTGATTTTTATTTTGTTGTTTTTGTAGCTTTCTTTTGCTGTGTTTCTGTTATGTGAAACTCTGTTTGTTGTTGTTTTGGGGCTTGGCCCCTCATGAATACAAAAAAAAAAAAAAAAAGTAGGCTTTGATCATTTTAAGATAGTCCACACAGCTTCTAGTTTGGTGCTAAAGTTGGGTTAGGCACATAACGGTTGACCAGCTTTCAGGTTAACGATTCAGATTTTGCTTCCCTTAACCAATTGTAAATTTGCACTTGTTTACGTTGATGTAGGTCTCGCTTTTGTTTTAATTTTATTTTTTATTTTGAAAATAAAGGAAAGTCCAAAAGCTAATGTGAAAAGATATATAACATATAATTAAAGTATGAATCAATTTTTTTTTATTTAAATAGGTATTTAAATCTTTATATGTAGTACGACAAAGAGATTAAAAAGAACTAAATGCATGTTGAGTGAATAATTTTATGGCTTTTAATTAACTGATGATTTAGAGAGTTAATTAGAGAACTATGTTTAGGGGTGCATACCAGCTGTTAGGTCATGGATCGATGATTATCTTATCTTTTTGAGCAAAAATTAGAGGCGCTAAGAACTAAGAAACACATTTTAATGATCTGGAGTCAAAACTGGTCATGTAGCAAAGTTAATTTAGCTTTGATAAATTATGATAAATTCGGTTCTTTGATGAGGGTTAGCTAAATTACCGGCGATATCCTATTAAAAAAAGATAATAGGTAAAGAAAAGGGAGAAATATAGTAAAGCTACAACCACCAAATGACTTTTAAGAATAAATAGATGTTATGTTCCAAATTAACTTCTCGATTTTCTCCAATCCATGAACTTATTTATTAGTCAAGGCTTACAAAAAAAAAAAAAAAAAAAAAAACATATATAAGCTTTTAACTCAAAATTTCGGTTTTAATCATAAATAATTTTTGCCCAGCTAGTCAAATTAAGTCAACTGACGGATCTTATAGTATATGGGTTTTTCGGGTTATATTATGACACACCACCAATCTTTTGTCTGAACCCCCGTACGGACCCATGAGTCATGCATGGCTTGGATAATGGTTTTTGTGCCGTGATTATTGAATTTGACTCGCTACAAGATGTATTTGAGGCGAATAGTTAGAAGGGTAAGTTCATGCTTAAGGTAATATTTTTTATTTATTTTTTTGAAAACATGCTTAAGGTAATATTCTAGAAGAAGAATAATGAATTTTCTATCTTCCCAAAAAAAAAAAAAATTAATTTTCTCATATTTCTTTTTAATATGATCTCATTAGGTGAATCTCAATCATTTATTGATAGATTAATTATCCAAAACTAAAATGATCATTTTCTCTTTTCCTTTTTACAAGTTTTGTCATTAAAATTTTAAAATTATAAGGTTTGATCTGTTAATGAATGTTTAAAATTATTCACAAGAAAATATATATCATGTTAAAAAGAGATATGAAATCAGATTCATTCTCATTCTGAGAGATATTAGCAGCCTTGTGAATATGAAAAAGGGTAAAACTACTCTCCAGTCGTAGGAGAGTAGTCCATTTTCTTGTAGAGATATGACTTTTTAAATTTTTTTTTTTTATTTTTTTATTTCATAATTATATGGGTCCCACCACATAATTGTGAGAGTGATAGGAAATAGTCTCTCTCCTGTTACTATAGATTAGTAAATCCCTATGAAAAATGACAAGTTTGAATAATTCACAATTTGCAAGAAGCCAATATGTGTGCGGACTTCTTTGCCAAGAAACATCGATGAAATCAGAAAATTTTGTAAGGTTGGGGGGGGGGGGGGGGGGGGGGTGTTTGTTTAATATTATCCCATGTAACTAGGGGTGGTAAATGAATTAGGGGCCTTCGGCTTGACTCGTGAAAACTTGAGCTTACATGTCTAAAATTGGTTGTTAGAACTAGGCTTGAACTAATATAAAAACTCGTTTAATAAAAAGATCACAAACTTCAATTCAAAAGCTCGGCCTTAAAGTCTTTCAGGTTGGCCTAATATATTAATTTTTTATTTTTATTTTTTATTTTTTATATTACTTGCAATAACTCCCTCTCTCTCCTCAATCTATTTCACTTTATTTTATTGGTTAAACAAACTTTTTGAATATTTTTGTTCTATATTATACTGTTTGGATATACATTGAATTTATGAATATTTATTGAATTACTAGTGTTGTTGATTGTATTCTGTTTGAATAAATTTTTATTTTTTTAAAACAGGCTAACAGACTAAATCAACCTTTTGTTTTTTTGTAAATAAGTCAGGCCATAAGCCGATAATTATATTCATAACAAGTAACCGACTTGGTCAGGTTGACACATTTAAACACAGGCTTGGCCCTTTAACACCCCTACTTGTAAGTTATAAAAATCTATATGAGCAAAAGAATAGAGATGGTGATCACAATTAAATATTTGTATGAAGTTGAAGAGAGGGGGTGGGGAGAACACTTCATATACGACAGGAAATTAAACATAACGTACAATTCATAACTAAAACAATATGTAAATTAAAGGGGAGGCGACCACCCTTGCTTCTGGAGTGGTAAACGAACCAGGGGCCTTTGCCTCAGCTCGTGAAGGCCTGGGCTTAAAAGTCTAAAATTAGTTGTTGGAATCAAGGTTGAACTTATATAAAAACTCGTTTAATAAAAAAGACCCAGGTTTCAATTTAAAAGTTCGGCCTTATAGCCTCTCAGGCTTAATTTTTATAATTATTTTATATTTTTTATACTACTTCTAATAGGTCTCTCTCTTTCTCTCTCCTCAATTCATTTCACCCATTCTTATTGGTTAAATAGACTTTTTGAATGATTTTATTCTATATTATACTTTTTGGATATACATTGAATTTATGAATATTTATAGAATTACTAGTGTTATTAATTGTATATTTTGTTTGGATAAATTTTTGTTATCTTATTTTTTTAAACGGGCTAAATTATGCTTTTATTTTTTGTAAATAAGTCAGACCATAGATCGATAATTATATTCATAATAGGTAACGAATTTGGTGAAACTGACACATTTAAATACAGACTTAGCCTTCTAAAATCAAACCTCAGCTTGGCTCGGCCCTTTAACATCCCCCTTTAACATCCCTACTTGCTTCACCGCTGCCAACAAAGGTACTACTACTAGGTGAAGCATGTTACAACAGCCTCCTGCTTCTTCTATGATGTTCCAAAAGACAATAAATATTGATCTTTTAAGTCATAAATTATTGTTTTTATTCGGTATATAAAACAGTGTTTACTACAAACTTTTACCCAAATCTTGTCCATTCTAATCACTTAGTAAGTGATACATATCTGCTTTTGTTTGGTATACATGTATTTTTAGCTTAATTTTCTTGTAAGTATTAGGTGAAATATTATCAACTGGTTAAATTTTGATATGAACTACTACCAGTCTCCTAAATCTAGAGAGATTATCATAATATATTCACATATTTTTAGTTATTTTTAGAAGTTTGTTTCTACTTTCCTAAAATTAAATTGTTCGGCAAAGAAGATTGGCACACTTAGTTAAACTTTCTGTCCACGCTAACTGTGGCTTAATAAAGAAAACAAATTCATATACAAATCATATTCTATAATAAACAAAAAATTAAACTAATATTTGATATCATTTTACAATTTTATATGCAGCTGATATTTGACCAGTACTGTATACTATGAATTTACTTGGAATTGGAGATCATTTACTTTTACATTTCAAACTTCACAATTTAAAACTGATTATCACAATTTTCCTAGTATGATCATCAATATAAACATATTATATTTCATAATCACATCAAAAAATGTTTATTCGCAAAAGATAACATGCATGTCCATATCATTAACTTTTGAGAATTATCTAAGGCAAATTGAAAAGATTACAAGCAACAAAAAATTAATCAATTTCCGAATATAAATAACATGTAGTTTGACTAGGCTTAGCTTTTCTTTCCCGTTTTTGTAAAGAAAATGATATGATGATCTAACAAAAGCATCATAACGCTAAGAATAAAAATTTGGATTTTCCAATAATATTCATTTTCTCATGCTTTCTCTTATGATATGATAAAAAAAAAGGCACAAAACAAGTTTAATAAATTTTACACAAATAATGATATATATCTTCTTCTATGATTCAAATCCTTAAAATATTCCAACAAAACTAGCTAGAAGAAGCTATATCGCACGCCCACAATATTAGAATTCATTCTCGAGAAGTTGCACTTTTGATATTCATTTTGATTTCGGCATAAAGTTTAAAGATTGTGAATGAAACCCTGCCAAATAGATGGTTACTGATCCATTACATCATGCATGTAATTTAATATTGGGTTAGTGTCGAATACAAATATACATAGTGGTTTCGAGTTCGAGTTAAGGATACAACCATGTCGAAAATTTGATAGTGTTTTGCCGCCTTTATAGTCCTCCTGACTTGAACTGAATTACTCAAATAATCGAAAAATCGGTAAAGAAATAAAAAGAAAAAAGAAAAGAAGAAACGATGGAGGCTAGCACGTGTTTCGTTCTCGTTACCCACCAATCAGTGATGCGTCTTGATTCAACCATGTTTTGTTGGCAAATTTTGAATTTCATTAGTCTCTTCGAAAACTGATAATGACAGTGACAAATTGATTTTAAAAAGCAACTGGTTCTGGGTCTTAGTCCACATACAGAGTGAGAAGATTAAGAGATTCTCTTAGCACGTTAGACGGAAAACAATGTGCATATTGAACTTTAGCTCAACTGATATATAGTGTTATTGTTTAGAATTTAATTATTTCATTAAGAAAAGTGAGGAATATATTCAATCTAATAAAAAACTAATGATTAATATTTTGATCAAAATGCATAATTTTAGATATTTTGAAAAGATAAGAGAACATAATTTTAGGTAATTTAGACATATAATGAGAAGACCTTAGATGCTACTGTAAGAACAAAAATTTGTTACCAAAAATTTGACACAAGAGAGGAAGATGTTAGATCAAAACTTATTTGAGGGAAGATAATAAAACAAGACTTAATTAAGTGAGATATAGATGTTAGAAAATTATATTTCCTAACACTAAAAGAAAATTTGTATTTAGAGGCGGTTTTTTAAGCATTCAGAGGCGGTTTAAACCGCCTCTGAATGCCAACGAAGGCGGTTTCAAAACCGTCGAGTTTACCACCGTCGAGAGCAAATCTGAGGCAGTTTTACTGAACCGCTGGAATAACCGCCTTCCTGTATTCAAAGGCGGTTACGTAGGCGGTTTTTGGGGCCTCAATTATCAGAATAAGAATCTATTTGGAATTTAAAGGCGGTTTAAAGGACCGCCTCAGAATTCATATAGAGGCGGTTATGTATTATTCTGAGGCGGTTGTAGAAGCGGTTATAAGCGCCTTAGTAATTAGCTTAAACACTTTCTGAGGCGGTTATATTAACCGCCTCAGAATGTAATTCTGAGGCGGTTATAATAACAGCCTCAAAATGTAATTCTGAGGAGGTTTGTTTGACCACCTGATTAAATAATCAAACGCCTGGGTAAGGCTTAGATACTCTTCCTAGGCGGTTTGTTAACTGCCTCTAAATGACATTTTGAGGCGGATTCATTTGATAATAAACCGCCTCCATTAGAGTTGTGACATTCTCATATTATTTTGGTTTATTACCCGCCAAAATATATAAAATTAATATTTTTTATTTTTTATATATTTGTTATATTTTTGTTAATGTAAGGTTACTTATAAAAATACATTGTGCATTTAATTATTTTTTTCTAATGATGTAATAATTAAATTGTTGCATCTGAGCATACATAACCATACAATTTTAAAAGCCCTCAATTAAAAGCATAAGATATATAAATTCATCACAAGTTTAAAAGTGAATATTTGCATACATTATCCAAAATATATTAAACAACGTATAGACAAAGTCTCAACTGTTATGCAAAAAACCTTGAACAAATCACTATAATAATGACAACAACACTGTCCAAAATCAACGTCTAAATAAAATATTTAAGGTTGTGGTGGTGGAGGTGGAATATGAGGTGATGAATCTGGTCCTTCACTGTGTGGGTTATGACTAGCATGAGAAGATCTTCTGACTCCTGGAGAGCCCAAATCTGTAACCTGATACATTGAAAAAAAGAAAAACATACATCAAATGCTACATCAACCTGATTCCCTTAGTGCAAACTCTTATAGTCTCAACATCTTATACATTATAAGAGTGCAAAAGTGTACATCAGAACTCTTAAATTTATAATTTATGAGGAATATCTTTTCTAAAAAAATAAGTTCATTTACATATTAATGCAAACTTTACATCAAAGCATCTTAGCAAATTCAATGTATACTTTGAACCATATGTCCTCAACACTGGACTATTTAAACAAAATGCAAATGTATACACAGTGACTATTTAATTAAAATGCAAATGTACCAATTCTTTAAATAATTGCAAATTCCTTAACACTGGACTATTTAAACATTTCAGCCTCCAAATTAAAATGACTTTGTTATCAAGAACAAATAATATCAAAAAATTGATAGAATGAACTTTGTAAACCATCTGGTAGTACCTCAAGTATACACAGTGATACCTAAAGTAATATGAAGAACACATATTTATGACGCAAATTCATAGAATGCAGCAAGTGTCCAACCAAGATCCCAAATAAAGTAATATTGCCAAAATGAGATTACCAAAACAAAGCCCACGTTCTCTAATCAAGTGATATACATGACTTATAATCCCTACAAGCTGTAACCCTATCAACATCCCAAATTTATCAACAACAAAAGCAGTCACCATTCCAGAGCAACGATATGAAACAAAGATATATGCAAATAACGTTTAATACAAAAAAACTTAAATGACGTCAATGAATAGCCAACAAAGAGTGAACCTACTCTAATTACAAAGTATCTATTTGATTATGACCCAAGATTCACCTCATTTATACGAAAATTTTGTTGAGCAACCATTTGTTGCATAATTGATGCCATTTGTGCTTTCAAGATATCCAGTTCTCCCATTTTCCCTTTCAAAGTGTCGAGTTCCTCTTTGAGAGAATCATACTCCTCTTGCGAAGGACCAGCATTAGAAAATGATGCAAAATCGTGAGAACGCTTACGCATTTGAGTTGGAACCACCCCGAACCCCATTCCTCTAACGCGTCTAGGGTGCTCCTTACCAAAGACACGTTCATAGGCTTCATCTTCAGAAGATGTTTCCTTTATCTCTGCTAGTAATTGGTCCTACAATACAACATCAAATATTTAATCAAAACAAACTGTAGAGCTTCCTCATTCACAAAGAAAATACATACATTCTTGGTTCTAGCTTCTTCATGGACAAAGCTGCCATCCCTTTTTTATGTGTGAAATGGCGTACATCTCTCCCCTACTAAATCTGCGTCCATATTTTTTTTCCTAAAACAATGTCAGTAAACTAAATGTTAGTTAAATTCATAGCAGATCAGAGTTAGATAGAAAAAGATTGTAATTAGCATAAATACCAGGTCATATCTTAAACTTGCAAGGCTTTTTGATCCAAGGGTATGCATAATCGTTTGTTTTGCTCTATTTCTAGTGTTTATCTCACTGTATTTCTGCATTGTCCAACAAAACATTCTTGATATTAGGTCAATAAAACCAAATTAAAAAAAATGAAAGCTTATGTCATTACCTTGGCTTCATCGCTTAACTTATAGGCCAAAAAACCAGCCCATTGTTCTTGAGTCAAACCTTCAGGATAGTTTTCCAAGTTTTGATCAAAACTTGCATTTTTGTTATAATAATAGGAGCATAACCTCCACCTATTGTCCTTCCATTTCTTTCCCATATTTTCCATACAATATTCATAGTGGTCAGCATGATGGAGCTGGAACTTTTTCTGTAATACGAAAAAATATGCATAATCATTTCACAATAATTTAAGCTTAGTAAAGGAAAATCAGAGAGCATTTATACCTGAATGGTCTCCCAAGCAGTAGTCTTATACGAGGGAAGTACACTAGGCCACCTATCAAAATATATTGGAAATACATTAGTGTTACATGCAAGATGTCCTAAAAAACCATTCAATAGTGAGCCGCCATCAGCAACAGGCTGATTCTCTTCACTCCATAGCACCACCACTTTCTTGTGTTCAGCAAGTACCAAAACATCCCTGACGCGCAATTTTTCCTCAGTTGTCCTTCCTTGATCATCTATAACAAATAATATTCATGTGATTTTTGTTAGTGGAATAATAATATATGACATAAGCATACATAAAAAAATTAATAATGTAATATATATGTTAAATGGTGTACCTATGACATCAACCAGCCAATATTTGTTGCAAACCCTCTTGGCCTTGTAGGAAGGTGGTCTTTCATTTTGTTGTTGGGAACGACCTGAAACTTGAGCTTCTTGGCCTTCCATTTCATGGGGCTGTTGTTCCACCCCTTGAATAACATTTTCTAGGCTCTCAGTGGGATATACATTTTGTGTTTCGTGGGTAGGCGTTGTAGAGCTTGTTGAAGCTTTTCTTGCAGCGAATCTCCTTGTACGTGCCATTTCACCTAATCCATTTGTCCAAAATATAACATGGAAACATATATTGAAGTATTTAAAAATCATCTAATTCCAATATGTACTGGAAAAAGTTCATAGTATTTTAACATTAAGAAATTAATTGCAAATATTAAGTCATAAGCAACAATAATATACAAACAAAACGTATGTCCTAACAAAAACTACACAAAACACACCTTATAAAATCCAATCCTAAAAAACCAACTGACACAACCCTATATAAGTAGACATAACCTAATCCTTAAACAAAAAATTCATATGTCCAAATCTTCATCGTCATTGTGATTAGCTATCAAAATTGAAGTGTCATCATCTGTGGCAGGTCTTGATAATTGTAGAGCTATTGTGTCATCAACTAAAAGTTGGTCCAAGTTTTGTGATGGAAATAGGTCAGTGGTTGTCATGATATCTTCGCCCATATCATACAAGTCTCGAGGCTTTACATGGATAGGTATGCTCCAACCCTTTTCTTTCTCATCATCAACATAAAAAACCATTTGACCTTCAGAAGCTTTAATATAGGGCTCATCATCCTCATTATCACTAGTATGTATTAATTTTGAAAAGTTAATTTGGGTAAAACCCAATTTATCTTTTTTATGCCCTCTATGAGTAGTTGTATCAGCCCATTGACATTTAAACAAAGGCACAGTGAACAAGCCATTGTAGTTAATCTCAATAATGTCAACCACTTTCCCATAGTAAGGAACTCCTCCACATATCATTTGGCCATCTCTACTACTTGAATAACTTGTGTCAAACGTTCCAAAAACCCCATGATTTTGTGTTTTCAAGTTGTTATCTCGATCCAATGTTCGGAATTTGAAGCCGTTTACATTATATGCACTGAACCTTCTTGCTTCATATATAGGACCTTTAGCAAGGGAAAACATAATACCTTTGTTTGATTCTCTAATATTTTCAATATCTAAAGGAATCTACAACACAAATAAGTAAACTGTTAGCATCATGGAATTTAGCACAAACGGATAAATATTCTTGACCTTGATGGTGCAATAAAATACTTACACGTTTAGAGAACCAAGAAACAAACTCTCTATGAACCCGTTTATCTATCTCAGCTTGACTAATAGAGGAGAAGAAAATGTAATCAATTATCCGTGAATAGAATGGAGTGTGATTTACTCTGAGAAAAGTAAAAGTGATAAAGAAACTCTGCAGTTATTGATAACGTGAAGTTGCTGCTAAATTTCTAAACACGCGGCTCACTAATCGTATTAATTAAGTAGGCTTTGATCATATTAAGATAGTCCACACAGCTTATAGTTTGGTGCTAAAGTTGGGTTAGGCACATAACTGTTGACCTGCTTTCAGGTTAACGATTCAGAGTTTGCTTCCCTTAACCAATTGTAAATTTGCACTTGTTTAAGTTGATGTATGTCTCGCTTTTGTTTTGATTTTATTTTTAATTTTGAAATAAAGGAAAGTCCGAAAGCTAATGTGAAAAGATATATAACATAATTAAAGTAGGGAAAAATGTTAGTCTGAAGATTTTGTGTCATTTTAGATCTTAACCGTTAATTTTCGTTAATTAATGGTTGAAATTTATTGGATTTTATTACGACTTAATAATTAATTAATAAATTTGATCCAATAAATCTTAACCGTTAATTGACAAAAATTAACCGTTGGATCTAAAATAACACAGAGTTATATCCTTTAAAAAGACAAATGTTTTTCCCATTAAAGTATGATTAATTTTTTTTGATTTAAATAGGTATTTAAATCTTTATATATCGTATGACAAAGAGATTAAAAAGAACTAAATGCATGTTGAGTGAATAATTTTATGGCTTTTAATTAACTGATGATTTAGAGAGTTAATTAGTAAACTATGTTTAGGGGTGCATACAAGCTGTTAGGTCATGGATCGATGATTATATTATCTTTTTAAGTAAAAATTAGAGGCTCTAAGAAACACATTTTAATGATCTGGAGTCAAAACTGGTCATGTAGCAAAATTAATTTAGCTTTGGTAAATTATGATAAATTGGGTGGTTTGATGAGGGTTAGCTAAATTACCGGCAATATCCTACTAAAGAAAGATAATAGGTAAGGAAAAGGGAGAAATATAGTAAAGCTACAACCACAAAATGACTTTTAAGAATAAATAGATGTTATGTTCCAAATTAACTTCTCGATTTTCTCCAATCCATGAACTTATTTATTAGCCAAGGCTTAAAAGAAAAAAACCATAAGCTTTTAACTCAAAATTTCAGTTTTAATCATAATAATTTTTGCCCAGCTAGTCAAATTAAGTCAACTGACGGATCTTATAGTATGTGGGTTTTTCTGGTTATATTATGACACACGACCAATCTTTTGGCTGAACCCCCTCACCATGAGTCATGCATGGACTTAGCTGGCTTGGATAATGGTTTTTGTGCCGTGATTATTGAATTTGACTCGCTAAAAGATGTATTTGAGGTGAATAGTTAGAAGGGTAAGTTCATGCTTAAGGTAATATTCTAGAAGAAGAATAATGAATTTTCTATCTTCCAAAAATATAATAATAATTAATTTTCTTATATTTCTTTTTAATATGTATCTCGTTAGGTGAATCTCAATTATTTATTGATACATTAATTATCAAAAACTAAAATGATCATTTTCTCTTTTCCGTTTAACAAGTTTTGTCATTAAAATTATAAGGTTTGATCTGTTAATGAATGTTTGAAATTATTCACATGAAAATATCATATTAAAAAGAGATATGAAATCAGATTCATTCTCATTCTGAGAGATATCAGCAGCCATGGAAATATGAAAAATGACAAAGTTTGAATAATTCACAATTTGCAAGAAGCCAATATGTGTCTGGACTTTTTTGCCAAGAAACATTGATGAAATCAGAAAATTTTGTAAAGGGGTGCAAAATTACAAGTGTAATATTATCCCTTATAAGTTATAAAAATCTATATGAGCAAAAGAATAGAGATGGTGATCACAATTAAATATTTGTATGAAGTTGAAGGGGGGACAACACTTCATATATGACAGGAAAACATAACGTACAATTCATAACTAAAACAATGGGAAAAAAAATACAATATTACTATTTTAATAAATAATTATGAATAATATCTCTTGTGAAACTAATCTCCACGCTATCCGGGATTGCCCTCAGTCAAAAGAGGTTTGGAGGTTGGTGGTTCATCAAACCAGTTGGCAGGTATTCTTCTCGCTTAATCTGCATGACTGGATCTTCTCTAACTTAAAAAATTGTAGAAGCTTGGCAATGGACGATGATTGGCCTTTGACTTTTGGGATATTAGCGTGGAGCATTTGGAGGAGTAGAAACACTTGGGTTTTTGAAGGAAAAATCAATAATGCTTACACAATTGCCCACTCAGCCTTGGGGTATAGCAATTGTGTCAAGCATACAACTACCACTCTCCATGCAGCAGGTCTTCAACCGAGAAACAGTGTAGAGAAGATGATAGCTTGGTCTTGTCCTCCGTTAGGATGGGTTAAACTTAATGTTGATGGGGCTAGAGCTGGTAATGGGAACAGATCAGGATGTGGTGGTGTTCTTCGTGACCCGTCCGGAGCTTGGATTATCGGTTTCTGCAAGAATTTAGGGCCAGGTACTGTTTTGCATGCAGAATTATGGGCTTGTTTGGAAGGTTTGCGTTTAGCTTGGGAAAAATGATTTAGAAAAGTGTGGCTGGAAGGAGATTCCCTCTCAGCCCAACAGATTATATCTAATGGGTGTCATCAGGATCACCCTTCGTTGAGCTTGGTGCAACGTATTAGAGGAATGTTGCAAAGATGCTGGCAGGTGCAGATTTATCATGTCCATCGTGAAGGAAACAAAGTAGCTGATTTCTTAGCTTCATATGCGTATAGCTTTCCATGGGATGTGCAAGTCTTTGATGACCCTCCTCCTGGCTGTCTTCAAAGTTTATACAGCGACACTGTAGGTGTTCGCTGGGCTAGGTTCTGTACTTGGGCCTTTTTGCTGTGTTTTTCATTTCCATTATCTTTAAAAAAAAAAAAAATTATGAATATATAGTTGTTTCGAAACTATTTATGAATTTATTGCACTTAGTCACGCCCAAATTAGGCGTGACTATTCACACCTAAGTTAGACGTGACTCCCAAGGCATTTACGCCTAATTTAGGCGTGACTCTTCTGGTGTTGACACGTGGCACAAAAAAGTCAACTTACGAATCGTAAAACTTTTGAAAGCCATAACTGTTGACTCGGGTATCCGAATCAGGTAATTTTTTTTGATTCCACACAACTTTTCGAGATCTACGCAATGACATCTCATTTGATATATTTTATCTCTCACAAACACAATTCAAATTTGCAATAATGATATTATAAGAACTTTTAAACTCAGAAACCTCCAAGTTCTTGGTTTGTGATTTAATATAAAATAATAAATGAAGATTTGATTTGTGATTTAAATTAAAAAACAATTTTTTTAATTTTTAATATAGAAAATAAATAAAGATTTGATTTGTGATTTAAACTCTAAAATCAATTTGAAAAATATGTATTAATAAAGAAAATAATTAAATAAATATTCTAAATCTCTAAAGAAGAATGATTTTATTTTTAAAAACCATTCATAGGCTATAAGCTTCCAACGAATCCAGCCATAAAGACTTATCCATTGTTTTGTATCAGAAGGATGTAACTTACGATACAGTTCGGTAAAATTATTAAAAAAGTTATATATTTTTAAATTATTTTTTATTATATTTTTGTATCTTACAATTCGATATGATTCACGATATGAAAAATCGGCAAAACGATACATGATATGTATTGCGATTCAATAACCTTGTACACTATTTTTTTTCAAACACTTGGTAGAAGTATATATTTTAATATGACATTAAGTATCCTTATTTATAAATGAGCTAATCCACTTTGGTTCCATCTTTATAGTACCATTTTTAAATATATCAAATCATTGCGTAGGTCTTGAAAAGTTATGTGGAATCAA